TCTTCGCATTCTTCCATTTGGCATAGACCTTTTATTAATTAGTCAATCTGTGATATTCCTAATTCTTGTAAATATTAATTATTTAAGTTATCATAAGGAAGGAACAACTTTTTAAGACAATCAAAGGCGATTTTAGAGTCTTAAATATTTTTTTAAACATTCTGAATATTAAGGGTTCTTTACTTAATCCATTCAGATAGAAGTCCGAAATTTGTTACATTATTAAGATGTTAAGAGTGGCGCTGCAAGCAAAAATGACAATAAGGTCTTTAATTTGGGCATTTACTATCTATACAAAACCCTATTATTTATTCATTTTGATGATCTGCTTAAGTACATCTTATCTACATTTTCTAATTCTATTAAAATAAATATTAAAATTAAAAAAAATTACTTTGATTTAAATTAAAAAATTCTAAATAATTTAAATTAAAATAGTGGCAATCAAAATTAATAGAGGAACAAAGAATAGTTTTATAAAATCAAGTCAAAAAATAGGAATTTCAATTGCATTCATTACAAACAAGCCATTTGCATTTAATTATTTTCAAATTTTGCTACCAGTGACCTTTAAACCTAAAAATTTTAATTTGCTAAATACTTTCATTATAATTTATCTTTAAGAATAAACATATGTTCAATTAAGTTGTCTTGTGTTAATAAATATTATTTAAACCTCTTTTCTGTTGTGTAAGAATAGTAATGAAAAAAAATTAACTAGTTAACTTGGCTCTTTGATAAATACTATTCTCATATTTTTAGACTAAAATAATTAGATTTAAGTCTAATTATTTTAATTAATTGCAAAAAATACACATAAATTATCATTATCAATAGAGACTCTAATTAAATTAATAAAAATTGGTCAGATAATAACAGATTTTTGAATCTCAGACCCTTTATCTATTCGATTTTGGAAATTATTTATTGTTTAATATGATTTAGTTTTAAAAGAAAATAATCTTTTTTTATAAAAACTTTTGCTCTATGAAATGTTTAATAATTTGATCGTAATCACAAATTAGTAATACTTTATTGGGTAATGAAATTTTTAACATTGTATAAAAAATTTAAGTTATATAGAAGACTAATAAAAATTACAAATAAAGAATAGATTCCAAACTTTCTTAATTAGAAACTGTCTTATACATGTCCTTAACAAAAATTAAATTAAAAAAAAACAAATAAACATGTATGCAAGATATTTTAAGTAAGATGGTAAGGATTATAAACATTCTAAAATATAGAAGGAATAGTGTCGTAAAATATTCTAAGAATTTACTTTAGTAAAATATTAAATAAATTAGTATGAAGTTATTAATAGGTAACAAAAATAATTTTAATCATGATTGGAATCAAAATTATTAAAACAAATATTCAATCAACATATTTTCTATTCTAAGGCTTTTGGATAAAGAGATATGACAGTTTTTAGATCCTATACCTTTCTTAAACTCTATTTATGGTCTTATATATTTTTCATAGTAAATTATATTTGTAATGTATTTTAATATAGTTTATAATCTTTAATTAGACATTTGAAGTGAAACCAATCTGATAAATAAATTAAATTATTTTATATTAAAAGAAATAGACTTGAATAAAATAATTACAGTTGTAATACTACGATAAATTAATTTAAAAATGACTAAATTAAACTAAAGCAAAAAATAAATACACCATATGATTTCTTAACAATAACTAAAATTTGAATTCAATCTTTTAAAGTTAAATATTTATTTCTACTTTTCAAGAATAAATTTTAATAAACCAGAATTATTCAATTTTTCATTAAACTTAGAGGTTTTAAGAGTGTTTCAAATATTCCTTTATAATGGCATAGCTTATGGCTAAATTTTTATATATATCTTAACAGGATTCATCAGCAAAAATAAGCTGGTAAATACATACTGAGTATTCACAAATCTTTATTGAAAAATAACTCTAATTTAAAATAATTTTTCTAAATATTTCAAATTAAATTTCAAATAAGAGTATTAAAATTGAATTTATATGTAAAATTTCTTTAATTGGTTCCAGTTAAGGAACTAAACATGGGATACCAAGTCACTTTTGGTATTTTTTGTCAATTTCGTGTTTGTTTTTGTATCAGTCCCTGATTTTTCTATGATAATCATTGATTCTGTCCTTGAAATACTATTATTTTGTATCTCTCAAGACGGATTAATCTTATCTATTGCAATTACTACTGGCTTGATGTATTTAGAAATGAATCTACCGTGCCTAACCAACTTCCGATTATCAGCACATTAAAATTCAATATTTTATTAATTACTCTATTTCAAGAATTCAATTCTAAAATCATCTTTATTATTACCAAATAAATTTAATTTTTGATGGAAGGGATGGCCTCATGGATTATTTATCATTCAATCCAAGGTGAACCAATCCTTATTTAAGACTTATATTTAATGGAATAGTAATAATCCCTTACAGCATTATAGCTTCATGTATTTATTAAAAATTTGAGTCAAGCTAACAGATATTCTGATAAATTTTGAGGCAAATCAGATTCAATAGGAAATAGATTATAAGCTGAAATTAACTTGAATAAAAGGTACCCACTTAAACGATAAAAGGTACACTATTAAATGATGAAAAAAACAACAACAAAATAAAAGTTCCAATATTGGAGAACTATTTTTTTAATTTTTTTGTTAAAGGATGAGAACAAAGTGATTCCATATTTATTTAAAGGTGTATAAAATTAAATATATATGAATTATTATTTTCTATATAATGGAGGTAAAATAGATGGCAAAAAAATAAAATTTTCTTAAACCTAATGGATATCTAAGCAGAAATAATCAAGATTAAACAAAAATTTTAATTCCACTACATTAAACAGAATATTTCAAAGCAATATACCCAAAAATAACTAAAATCTTTCTTAGAGAATTAGATGATTTAAAATTCAAATATAAAATCACCTAAAACGATTAAATCAAAAGCTTTGATTGATTTGATGTCTTAAATTCAGAAAATGATAGGGAAAGAATATTTAGAAAACTTACAAGCAAAAAATAACAGTTCCCAATAGTGAGACTAGAACCATCTTTTTTGTAATATTAACCTGTTAATAAGGGTAATACTGCAAGATTATCCTATTAATAACTTAAAGCATAGAAGATTAATTCTTTGCACAAAGTTAAACATAAGAATGGTAGTTCATATGAATCCACTCTTTAAGATGGGAATAAATTTTTGATGCCTCACAATCCAAATAACAATAATGAAAAGGCATTTACTAAAAAAAATATCTGCTTAAAAATGGATATTCAAATAAATGGTAGAAAGTAGGAAAACCAATAGAAACGAAATCAATAAAAGTATTAGAGGTTTAATCAATACAGGGATAAAGTGAGAAATTTAACATATAATCTATTTCAGCACATGAAATGAATTATCAATTATAATATACTAAAATATTAGAGTAAATAGGAGGAGTAATAGCAGGAACACTTGGTAGTTTGACCGCTGACTGTATAATCAATGGAATCGATGCATAACATTAGGTAAAGGACTATTAGCTTCTGCTACTATTTAAGGAGGTTTCTACATGCTTAAAGTGTACAATCTTTTGGAAGAGCAGCTCCTTATGTTGGAATTGGATTAACAGCATTTATGATAAGAATTTGAGTAGGAGGAGTAATCTTGTCTGATTCCTTGTCTTAAAGTGAGAAAGTATATAATTCTATGTTGATTGCTGTCAAAACTGGAAGTGCTATAGAATGAGGTTTTATAGGAATTGAAGGTGGAATGGGATTAGGTGCCCTAGGTGGTCCAATTAGAGTTGTGATAGGTGAAATCATTTGAGATCCTATTTCAGGGGCAAGTGATAATTTATTAGGGAGAGCAACTGATCATTTTACTTAGTTTACAAGTTGATTTTGATAAAAATCATAAATCTAAAGTTGAGGATGGTTACTTAATTAATCCAGGATCACTTCCCAAGATAAGTTGAAAATAGTCAAGGAAAAAGTAAAGATTCTAATTTTAATTGCATAAACTGACACTTTTATAGCTTGTTTAATTCCAAGTATCGATAGAAATAAGACAGAAATTTAAGAGAATGAAGAAATTGGGATTCAATTTAATGAATATAAATATATAGGTTATGATGCTTCTTGTTAAATTATTACATTTAGACTCCTTGCAACAACAGAGGATGAGATATTGTAACAATTCTAAAATAATGAAACAAACATTATTGATATTGCTTAGAAAATATTAAATAATTATGATTTACATTCAAATACGAATTATATCTATTATAACTTATATTATAGATAATCAAATCTTTTATTAAAACAGTGCCTTCATACAAATCATTGAATATATTTATTGAAATATGAATAATAAAAAAATGAATACTATTATTTAGACTCTTACTTTTTGTTTTTATTCTTTTTTTTTTTTTATACTTAAATCCCTTTTTAGTGCAACTTCTCCCATTACACAAATATAAAATGCTCTCTTTCTAAATACACATTTGATAATATAATGGTCTCACAACCACCTTGATAAATCCCATTTCATTCTTTGACATACATGCTCTAAATCCTTCATAAATGGCTATTATGTAAAATCGATAAAATTATCTTATACATCTTAGTAAATTTGAAGTTCAGACATTGTGTGAATTTGGAATTGATTAAAATAGAGGAAAAATATGCTATTGACAATTCATTTCAACATTAGCATTGCTTGATATTTTAATAATATTGAATATCTTTATTTTTTTATGAATATTGTAATTTATCCATTATTTGAGTTCATTAATTGATAGATTCATTCCTCTTGTTGATCATCTTTGTATAATTAATGATTTGATTTTCTTTTTTTATATATATAGTTCTTCTATAGATTTATCATCCAATTAATTTAATGTTCGTGATTAGTTGATCTTATTTTTTAGAGATGATAAATTGAGTTACTTTAACATTACATAAAATGGATATATATGGTTTACTTTTATTCTTCTTTTTCTTCAATGGATTTGCTTTTAATTGAATGATTATAAATTATGGATTATTTATTAATTTAATTGTAAAATTTAATGATTTGATGAGTTTTCAAAGTCTTAAGGGGTAGTTTTTGGTTTAGATATTAATTAATTTTGTAACAATTTCTTGTGAAAAAGCTTAGAACATAATTTTAGGGATTTATAAATGTTTATTATAGATAGATATTGAATATTATTTTTAAAAGCTGCTCCTTTCAATGTATCTAATAATTCACATAGAGCTTAAGAAAAGATATAATTATTATCTTCTTTAATCTTAATGCTTTTAGGTAATAAACTACTTATTAATGATTAATTTAAGTTTCAGTCTTTTTTAATATCCAATACTTTTAATATCAATTGACAAATAATAATAAAGGTTATGAAAATATTACTAAGAATAGAGTAGAGTTATTGAAAAAATCATCCAATCTAATCGTTTTACTATATTCTAGTTTAAATTATTTTTAATATTAACTTTATTTTTTAAATATATTCTTAATATCTTTTTTCTCATCTTTTTTATAAAAAATATCTTTTACTATTTATGAATTAATATTACAAAATTGTTAACACTAATCCAGTTTATAAATAGTAATAAATTAAGTAAATCTATCACATAATATCCTAGATGTATGATAAAAAGAATGTTGTGTTAATTAAGTTTTCTTTAAGTAATTAATTCAATTTTATTTTAATATCTTCAATTTCCTTACTGTTCTCTATCATTTAATATTAAATCTCTATAACAGTTTTTATGATATTTAAATAAATAATCCCTACTCTAAATTGATAGTATATTTGAATGATATTAAAATAAATAAAGTGTATAAATGATTAAAATGGAAAAAAAATTAGAAAAATAAGAAGTTACCTAACTTTAAAAGTGAAAAGTAAGAGTGAAACTAATAAGGATAGAATTAAAAAAAAAATATTAGATATTGATTGTAATAATTATTTTTGTTTGATAATTATCACTTTTTCTATAAGTCTTCTAAAATGCAACTTCCTTTAGATTTAAATAAAGGTTTTAAATCTATTCCTTAATGGTTTATAAATTCTCCTTATAAGATAAGTGTGCCTGATGCTTCCAATATTTTTGCTTGTGATATGACAAGAATTGAATAATTAGAGACTAAGTAATAATAATACAATAAATACCTGGATTGTTCTAAAAAAGTGGTGCCTAAAATTATGCAAGAATACCTTTGTAGTTTTTATCAGAAGATTTAATCTCTTATCCTGCCTTTATATCCCATAGACAGATAGACTTATCATAACTACCTGAAGCTAATGTATTTCCATCAGGAGAGAAACAGACTGAGTTAATACAATTATTATGACCATCTAATTTGGCTATTTATTATCCTGTTTTGACATCCCATAGAAGGATAGACTT